TATCAGGTGTGCATAATTATTAGGCAACTTCCTTTCCTTTGGCAAAATGGGTCAAAAGAAGGACTTGACAGGCTCAGAAAAGTCAAAAATAGTGGGATATCTTGCAGAGGGATGCAGCACTCTTAAAATTGCAAAGCTTCTGAAGCGTGATCATCGAACAATCAGCGTTTCATTCAAAATAGTCAACAGGGTCGCAAGAAGCGTGTGGAAAAACCAAGGCGCAAAATAACTGCCCATGAACTGAGAAAAGTCAAGCGTGCAGCTGCCACGATACCACTTGCCACCAGTTTGGCCATATTTCAGAGCTGCAACATCACTGGAGTGCCCAAAAGCACAAGGTGTGCAATACTCAGAGACATGGCCAAGGTAAGAAAGGCTGAAAGACGACCACCACTGAACAAGACACACAAGCTGAAGCGTCAAGACTGGGCCAAGAAATATCTCAAGACTGATTTTTCTAGGGTTTTATGGACTGATGAAATGAGAGTGAGTCTTGATGGGCCAGATGGATGGGCCCGTGGCTGGATTGGTAAAGGGCAGAGAGCTCCAGTCCGACTCAGATGCCAGCAAGGTGGAGGTGGAGTACTGGTTTGGGCTAGTATCATCAAAGATGAGCTTGTGGGGCCTTTTCGGGTTGAGGATGGAGTCAAGCTCCACTCCCAGTCCTACTGCCAGTTCCTGGAAGACACCTTCTTCAAGCAGTGGTACAGGAAGAAGTCTGCATCCTTCAAGAAAAACATGATTTTCATACAGGACAATGCTCCATCACACGCGTCCAAGTACTCCACAGCGTGGCTGGCAAGAAAGGGTATAAAAGAAGAAAATCTAATGACATGGCCTCCTTGTTCACCTGATCTGAACCCCATTGAGAACCTGTGGTACATCATCAAATGTGAGATTTACAAGGAGGGAAAACAGTACACCTCTCTGAACAGTGTCTGGGAGGCTGTGGTTGCTGCTGCACGCAATGTTGATGGTGAACAGATCAAAACACTGACAGAATCCATGGATGGCAGGCTTTTGAGTGTCCTTGCAAAGAAAGGTGGCTATATTGGTCACTGATTTGTTTTGTTTTGTTTTTGAATGTCAGAAATGTATATTTGTGAATGTTGAGATGTTATATTGGTTTCACTGGTAATAATAAATAATTGAAATGGGTATATATTTGTTTTTTGTTAAGTTGCCTAATAATTATGCACAGTAATAGTCACCTGCACACACAGATATCCCCCTAACATAGCTATAACTAAAACAAACTAAAAACTACTTCCAAAAATATTCAGCTTTGATATTAATGAGTTTTTTGGGTTCATTGAGATCATGGTTGTTGTTCAATAATAAAATTAATCCTCAAAAATACAACTTGCCTAATAATTCTGCACTCCCTGTATGTGTACATTGAATTCGTATGCTAGCAGCCAAAAAGCCGCTAGCATTCATGTGTTTCGTTTCACGAACAGAAACTTTACCGGCTGTTCGTGAACCGAATGAGCTACCCCCTAATAGCCCACACACAGAGGGATGTGTGGCACTCGTTAACCGATTGCAACAGTGTTGCAATCGGTGATTAAAGGCTTTCTTAGGTGGCCGTCGTTCTGCTACCGACTACGCGGCGGTCGGCCATCTTGGATCCTTTGTCTCACCAGCGGGGTTTGGTCGTCGAGCGCGTGGAGCCGAAATTGGCTACTCGACGGCGCGAACCCTGCTGGACTTCCAGGCCATTCGGGAGCTCCGGTATTCCCCTATTACAGTTACCCATCGGTGTTCGGCAGTTTTAGACGAACTCATGGGCAAAGTGTATTTCGTGCTGCGTTCAGTTGTTTTAGCTGGGAGCTGAGCGGTATTCTCATGAACGGTGCGCTAAGACCCCAGCTATCTACCGAATGTCCATTCGTTTAAATCACCCAGGTATTGTAAAAGTTACATATTTTTATGTTAAAAGCCGGTTCTGCTGTACGGAGGGATAATCCACTTAACAGGATATTCCAGTGGGAGTATCCCTATAGTACAGCGGTGCATGGTGGGAGAAATGCTCTGTGATTTAAGTTTCCCATGTAGTCCACTCCTGTAATACCTCTGTGATGTGACTCAGGAAACCCCTTGCATGGGGACTTGCATAAATACTGTGACCTCTGAATAAAAACCTCAGTTGACTCCCAGAACTGTGTTTCGTCCGGTTACTGGGGGATTTGGGATATTGCCTTACTTTTCAGCGCTTGACTGTGGATTACCTTCTTTACCAGCAGAGACCGTGGGATTTAATATTGCCGCTCCGCTACAGTTACCACCTGAAATTGTATAGGGGTACCGAACATTATGTCCAAGCAGGGGAGGCTAAACACAACTGATCTAGAACGTGATTACAATGTGTCATGGACCTAGGGTTGAAAGGTAGTGGTTCCTCTTGCTTGGGTGGGAATCTTACAAGGGGCCTTTGTTTCATGTTGTTTGAATTATATGGAGACAATAGGGCTGAGGAGGTGTTTGTTTTGGTGGGGCTGAGGGTTATTTACATCAATAAAAACAAGGAGTTATGGGAAGAAGACTTGATGGGGAACTATGTGTATTGTCAATGACCCTCATGGTATGGGGTAAAGGCTATAATCACTGCTATAATCACTTATGAATATTGCTCAGAGTACTTTGAGATGGGCATCTGAATGCTCTAAATGCAACCAAATACTCGGCTCCAAAATTAGCCTAGGAAGGCGAGAAGTAATGGAGGTACTCAGCCGGAGCAACAGCAGGCCGTTCCACAATGTCACAGCTTGACTAACACAGTAGCATCATTCATCACCCAAACAGGGCATTAACTTGGGACAAGCTAAGAAAGACGCAGCTAGGGTGCTTCGTTTAATGAGGGTTATTTTAAAGGCCCTGCAGTTCACAATGAAGGGAGGGAAGTATTGATAACAACTAACATAAAATGTAACAAGACAGAATAAAATACTGATATTATTGAAGGTCCTTTTTGGTTGCAAATCGCTAAGATTTTTTCGTGACACTGTAAACTAGCTGAAATCTTTCAGCCGATCCTTGTGCTTAAATTATTGTCTATGTGCGCACTAAATACATCATATAAACCATTGGCCAGCATCTGTCCGTCAATCTCTCTCTCTCTCTCTCTCTCATTTAATAACCAGTTGTAGTTTCACATAATGCTTTGGATAGGTACTTCACATTCTCATTCTGTCTGATGACTCTATAAACGTCAGCTTATGTACTGAATGAAACCTTCCCCCATCCTATCAATCCATCATGTTTTTTTCTGGAAATGTTACATTTGAAAACTCCAAGCCTTAAATTGAGTATAAAGTCTCAATGTGTTTCACTCAGTGCTGTCCATTCATACACAAGAATACAGAATATATACATTAAGTGTTTTATTGATTGGAACCTTATTCTCTTGTACAAAGCCGGAGGCTCACCTCCACGGTTATATTCACACTGCTCCATTATCTGTCTGATTGATCTACTCTCACTGAGCCCTGCTTTAATAATTATTTAGTGGCTGGGTAATGGGTACTTCAGGTCCCCAAAATGAAAGCATCTTCAAGTATCCTGCGGTAAATAATAGCTGAAGACTATAATTATGGACTTCAATAATGCGCCCCTAATGCAGCATCGCAGCAAGTCAGTCAAACACAGAATGAGCCAGGTAAATCGCTGACACCTCTCTGCATTAGGAACAGTGAGCAATTCTCAGCGCACTCATACAATGCAATGGGAAAATAACAAGGCGTTCGATGCCAGCATTGGCTCTCAGCCAGCCACCGATACAGCCCGTGTTGTGACAATTTGTATTTTTTGTGCAGAAAGCCAGTCATTTACCTGCATGTCCCCTTATTGCTGTAATTAACATGGCAGGCAGGCTGGAATTAGCTGAAATTAGCTGATACGGTATGCTTATGTGGCTGTACATCTCTATACACCAGGCTCGCTTCATTGGGCTGTCCACTTTAATATCAGTGAGCGCTTGTAATGTAATTATACCCCAGCAGAATAATTGGGGGCTGTTATTTTTTGGTCTATCAATGCCTACAGCCATTTACTACATGTCTAAATGCATTTCAGTTACTGGAGCTAAAAGTGGAAAGTCAGCTTCCCTTTCCTGAAAATACTCCAAGCCGCAAGTTTCAATATGCAATGCTGCGCATTAGCAGGAATCAAGTTAAACATTATCAGGAAAAACATGGAGGCCGGTTTAAGTAAACTAAAAGGCAGCCATAAAAGGCAGCCATCAGAAGGAACGGTGTCTATTTAGTTCTTTAACATTACCTGTCCCTGCCTCCTCAATTCAGCTACCAACCCTCTGTAACTATAATATTAGTCACTAAACCAAAGCTGTTATATAGAATACACTGCTCTCTTTGCATCCCCCATACAGTTACCCGAATTTGTCATTTCAATGCTTTATCATACCATTGAACATTTTTTAATTAATTGCACCATAACTCACTTACAGGTGTATCCCTCCTAAGCCACAACCCTCCTCAGTACATCTCCCCCCCAGCCACATCTCTCTCCAGTACATCTCCCCCCGCCACATCAAATCCAGTACATATCCCCCCAGCCAGGGGCGTTTTAGCCGCGAGGCAAACAAGGCATTTTCCAGGGCGTGGCAAAAAAAGCCGCCCCCCAAATGCCCAGGGCAAATGCCTTCTTAGCCTCGCTGCTAACTGACCTGCTGGGCAGGGCGGGCGGAGTTGACGGGCAGGCGGCTGGCGAGGGAGCTCTTCCTCTGAGTGGTCTGCTCAGCTCCCTCGTGCACCGCAGAGTGAGGCTGGGAGTCGGAATATGACGTCATCAACCCGGCTCCCAGCCTCACTGTGCGGCGCGCGAGGGACCTGAGCAGACCTCACCAGCCGCCCGCCAGCGCCGCCCACCCAGCCCAGCAGGTCAGTTAGCCACGAGGCTAACAAGGCATTTGCCCTGGGCATTTGACCAATGAACAAGGATTGGCTCCCAATAAACAAGGAGTGGCTCCCAATAAACAAGGCATGGCGACCAATGGACAAGGATTGGCGCACAATAAACAAGGAGTGGCTCCCAATGAACAAGGCATGGCGACCAATGAACAAGGATTGGCTCACAATAAACAAGGAATGGCTCCCAATGAACAAGGCATGGCGACCAATGAACAAGGATTGGCTCCCAATAAACAAGGAGTGGCTCCCAATAAACAAGGTATGGCGACCAATGAACAAGGATTGGCTCCCAATAAACAAGGAGTGGCTCCCAATGAACAAGGCATGGCGACCAATGAACAAGGATTGGCTCCCAATAAACAAGGATTGGCTCCCAATAAACAAGACATGGCGACCAATGAACAAGGATTGGCTCCCAATAAACAATGAGTGGCTCCCAATAATCAAGCAGTGGCTCCCAATGAACAAGGCATGGCGACCAATGAACAAGGATTGGCTCCCAATAAACAAGGAGTGGCTCCCAATGAACAAGGCACGGCAACTAATGAACTGATAATAGCATGGGAACAGGGCAATAAAGATGGGGCCGTCTGATGCTGGTGCTCCTTGATGGGTGGCAGAATTGAAAGAGAAATAACCCACATAGAGGGCAGATTTTGTCACCTTTCTAGTGCTGTGTGGATCCAGTTTAGGAGCATTTGATGAAAGGACTGGCCAGCGGGTATTAAAAATTAGAAGATGATATGAGATTAAAGATTAAACACTTTCCTTTCAAATTCCAAGTACATTTCATTGTTTGGCAATTAATCCTAAATGAACCATAACATATCCTTACAATATTCTTTCCTTTCTTTAAATGTATTAAAGGTTTAAATGGCAGCCCTGTAGCCTGGCACTCACTGTCTTATTACAGTCCACTTATTGGAGCCATAACTCCAATTAAGGGTTAAAATAAATGAATCCTTATTATATCAGACACAATAATCAAAATAATCTAATTTCACACATTAATCAGAGCTGCGCATTAGCTTACCTCATCTCTGGCAGATGTATTTCTTCTCCGGAATGTGAAACTCAAATTATTATTATTATTAACACATTAATTAAGAAATTGTAAAGGATAAAAACCATAAAACAAAATAATCATTTTTTGTTTCCCTCCCTGTTTGCCTGAATCTTAAAACGTGTTGTTTCTAATCCATAATGGTGGCCCCTGTTAACTGAAACAAGTTAACGGCATCCACAGAGTCACTCTCAAACCAGACTCCACCAATCACTCATTCTATGTCTGTCAAGCACGAGGTTATGGGCAGAATGCCCACCAGTCACAGGTCTACTCATTGGATATAATAGGTGTAACTGCTTAACAAGCTGATCGCAGCCATTCCGAAGCTATTATTATTTTAGTTGCAGATCCATTTTCAGTTTTGTGAGTGGGAAGCTATTATTTTATTAGCAAGGCTGTGTAGCTCTGGATCAAAAAATATGGTGGAGCAATTTTTTTTCTTTCAAAATACTGCATTTAAGTCGCTATGTGAGGGAGAAGAGCATAAGTTGTTATGGTGCCTAGAGTGACTCTTTAACTGCACACCTCATTCAAACCTGAACATTAAGTTGAAAGCTCAACCTACATTGAATTCTAACCCTGAGTGGAACCCTAGGAGTCATGATGCTTACGTTATCAATCTGACCAGGAAGCTGTTTGGTCTCCAGACAAGGCACACAGAGGGTTGAATTCTAACCCTGAGTGGAACCCTAGGAGTCATGATGCTTACGTTATCAATCTGACCAGGAAGCTGTTTGGTCTCCAGACAAGGCACACAGAAGGTCCAGGTACTGTGGGAGGCCTGCCAGGAGGATGCTCTATTTATTAAGATGGGCAGTTGCTGACTGTTCTGTCATGTTGCAGTGGGGGCAGCGGTGAGAAGCAGCAAAAGAGGATGTGCATTTTACGTTTTTAATCTGTTCGAAGAATGATGAAATCTTAGAAAAGAATTTCTACCATCTTCCTAAACCAATTCCGTTTAAATAAAGCGGATAAACAAACTCCTTCTTTATGGATTTTTTTCTTCCTCTTCTTTAATTTTTCTTTTTTTTTCCAGAGTTTATTAATATTTTATAAAACTTCTTTAATATCTGCATTTCTCTTGGGCTGGGATGTGAACTCCCATTGGAAATGATTAATATGTATGCATGACTGCAGAATTCAGTAATGAAATGAGTCTCTGTGTATTCCCCTTGGGACCAAGATCTCTACGAGAATAAGCAATGTGACTGGACAATCTCATGCATATGCAGTAGCGTTACGATTGAATTGTAAAGAACAATTAATGTAGCTTGTTCAGTTTATGTAAGTTGATATGTGAGAACTAAATTGTCACTGGTGTATTATGACTCATGCCCACGGACATGTCCCGTACATTATATTATAGTGTGCACCCAGAGGAAATTACTGTCTAAACATTATTTAAACTATACTAATTTTAAAAAACAATTAGGTAAAATATACAAATTGTTAAAATCATGTTGATAGAGAGATATCCCTAATCGAACAAGCTAACTGAAATCCATGCCCATAGAGAACCTACGAGGGGGCAAGATAGACCATTCTGCCCGTCAGGGTGTGCTGGGACCATCAGGCATACACCTTGTGCATGCACATCATACACCAAAAAAGGCAGGTAGGGAGATACCATTGTGGCGAAACCGACCTTGCCACGTGTCCTTGGAGGGGGCTGCTTGCCCGCCTCTTACCTTTAGACTATGGCCCCTGTTCTTTCTCCCTGGTTTGTGCCTTTCTGCGGACTGTTAAAGCCATGCTACCCCAGATAGCTATGCCATGGAGCCCAGCCGTATACTGAAAGACTTTGGCTCCATGGCGATTGAACTGTATGTATGTGATCTGAGCGCCATCCGGTAATAACGTGCGCTCAGATCTAAGCTATCTGGGGATAGGTAGAATGTCTGTATTTTATGTATAAATGTAACCTTGTGTATTTTATTGTATTTTACTGTCTTTTGTCTGCCATGTGTGTAATGGAGTTTGCCTCTGTCCTGGGAGATAATTGGATTACTTCTCCAATTATCTCCAGGCCCGGGAGGAAGGATTGTGATGCATTGTGGGTTGTAACTGTTATTTGATTGGTTATTTTATACCTCCCTGTGGGCGGTCCTGTATGTGCAAGACTGTAATAAAAACCAGGCTGGGTGTGCCAGCAGTGTTGTTCCTGTTTAACCCTCAAAGTGAAGTGTCGTCTCATTCTTGGGGGGAATTTGACTGTATGCCGATTGCCAGGAGTGTAAGCTGTTCGTAGGGCTTTTCCTGTTCGGCTGCTTCCAGGGTTCGTGTGTCTGCTGTTCGAGAGTTGGTGAATACGTGCAGTTTGGAGTTCGGGAGGTTGGTGATTGCAGTAGCTGCTGGTCTATCTGGAAGGGGATTATCGCCTAAACGTTTTTTATCCCCTTGTGAGCGAAACGGTCCGTTACAACCATGTTATCATACTTGCCGAATGGAAAGGCATTCAGTACATTCGACCCCAATCCGTTGGTCTGTTTTTCTTACAGATCAACCATTATTTACACAGCAGTTAATATTTATTTTTTTTTAAAGATCCTGTGACTCTGAAGAATTTGTGTTTGTCTATAGTTTGTTTTAACTATATATTTTTAAATTTATTTTTTATAGAATATGCTGTTTAATTCTAATTTTCTTATGGCATGGACAGCTATACCTCCATGTCTCGAGTGCTGGCAGTCCTGGACATCTATAAAGAGTGGTGAAGATCCCATCAAGCGACCATCCTTGGGGAATGTCGAGTTTTAGAGACCAGACAAAGGCAGAACTTAATAAATTAATGTTTATTATGAGCAAAAAAATAGTCACAGTGCATATAACAATATATGATTAACAAATTATTTACATCAACAACAGATAAAACAAAAAGGATAAAATACAGAAGTCCTAATTACTCACTTAGGTTTTCAAAGTACAACTTGTGTCCAGGGGGTCTCTGGCAAGGAAGGATGATGGTGACTCACTCAAAATTAGATCTTGGCCCCAAGCAAGTACACCAGCACCCTTCAGGATCACAGGAGATATACCCTGTAAATTACCCCGTCTCACCTAGGGGTGGAGCCAAGGCGTACCTATAGAGATACTAAGTGACCACCTCCTTTGTTCCAGAAAACAACAAGCCACATATAAAGTTTTGGTTGTATCTCCTCTACTGTACTTGCCACAGAAATAATAATTGCCTCTATGAATTTGTTATTGTTTTCCCATTCTATAGACATGTTGCACGCCCCTCCCACGATCCAATAGGACGGACATCACAATTCCTGCCACACGGTTTAAGTTGTGCAACTCATGTTTGGGCTTAATTAAGAGATTGGGCTTGTCCCATTCCAAATATAATAAAAATGAGGCTTAATTATTAAACTGTGGGTAAGTTTGAATGTTTCACGTGGATAAGATACTGGAACACAAGGATCTTCATGAAACTAATCCCATTACCATTAAATGATTGAACTATCCTTTACAAGGTACATGCCAAATGGATGAATAGACATTCAGACTTTTTCCAAGTGTAGAACCTCACACCTTGCAGATCCTTGATTACTTCACATCCATATAGTAAAATCCTTTTCACATTGCTATGCCATTCATACTACCCCTTCTGTCATCTGACCTCTGTGGGGGTCCCAGCTTCAAAAGATGTAACCCCTGCTGACCTCAGCAATAGCATCTCTGTAATTTGTGCCATTTACTACACAAATTACATTAAAAGATGATATTCCATAGTGTAATAATAAATTATACACCCTTGCCGTGACAGTACACATATTGGGTTGTTCTTTGTCAGTAACACATATCAGGATGGTTATGGTTTGATGGGGGTAAATTACATTGGCCGACTTCAAAAATGTCCCAAGTAGGACATGGATGCATGATGACCGGCTGTGAAAATTCCAAGTTTGAAAACTGGAATGCGCACCCTCCAAACAAGGTTCAATTTTAGCCCCCAGAGAACAAGACACACTTATACATGGGTAGTATCCTTGTACTCAGAAGATGTTGCTGAACACATATTGGGGTGTTCTTTGGCAGTAACCCTTAAAATTCTCAGTACATGTATTCCTAAATTGCTATGTGTGTCAAAAACATCACCAATTATTTTTATTTTTTTAAATTTGGCATAGATTGGTGGTAAAATGGTTGCATTAAAAGAGTCAAAATACTCCAAGTTTAATACCTTAGGTTGTCTTCTTTTAAAAAATGATATTCACGTGAAGGGTTATTCAGGGATTCCTGACAGATTTCAGTGTTACAATGTAACTTGTGTTCAATTTGAAATCAAATGGTTTGGAAATAGCAAAGTGCTACTTGTACTTATTGCCCTATAACTTGCAAAAAAAAGCTAAGAACATGT